CTGATTCAACTCCATCAATAACTACTTTTCAATGGTGAGTTGATGAGTTGATTTTGTCACATATTGCCTATGCATTAAACTGTGTCAAAATCAATTCATCACTCCATTGAATCACACAGTACAGAAGAAGCCCTTCAGCCCATAGGGTCTGTGCCATCAGAAAATATGCTTCTACCCACACTACTTCCACATTTCTGCACTGGGCCCATTGTCTTGAACAGTAGGACAGTTCATCCAAGTGATTTCAAAAGTAATGAGGTTTCCTGCCTCATTTAACCCACCAGGCAGTGCATTCCAAACCTTCACCGTCCGCTGGGTGAAAAAATATTTTCCTCAAATCCCCTCTAAACCTACTGCCTTTCACTTTAAAATTATGTCCTCTTGTTATTGTTATGAAGGAGTGGTTGACCCCCCCTGCTGATAACTAAAACTGAAACAGCCAGAGAAGCTTGGCTCACCTCGTAATCTATTAAAGGGATAGTTACATGAAAGAAATCCCTGATTCTCACTTTATAATCAACAAGTAGCAATTTATTTATCTAACTCTAACAATTAACAAATTAACAAAACTACTAACAAACTGAACAATTCCCCCTAACTACTAACTATTCCTGAATAAAGCAAAATTATAATGGTATGTTCCAATAGATACAAATCCCTCTTATACAAACCAAATTAATAAATACAAATAATTAAAGATTAATCTCTCGACATTACAGTCAGGATAAGTCTTCTGGAAGGTTCTTTGCCTTCTCCGCTGTCCTGCAGTCAAGGATGCCTTCCTCTGTCGAATTCTTGTGTCAGGAATATTAGCTCAGAGTGCCATAGTACCTTTATTTAGATGGTGCTTACTCTGAGATCTTAGATATTTCTGTGAGAGACAGTGATTTTCTGTTTTTTTCAGAGCTGAAGGCTGTTGAGAGCTGTTCTCTTAACAGATGACAGTTTGCTTTCACACTGATTTTCAAATGCCTTCTTTTATACACTGGATGACCTATTAATTTCTTACAATAGGACTGGTCCTATGGTGTCAAAACCATCAGATTTAAATTTAATTGGGTTTTGGTATCCAGGGCCTGGTTTAAATTAATTGGCTAAATTCAAAAACCTGTTGTCTTGGTAAAAAAAACAGTTTTGCCTCCTAACAATATAGCCTTTTGATACAATATATAAATTTCAAGAACTCTCTTTGCATCTGCTGCTGCCTGCAGAGATTTTTTTCTAATCTCCAAGCCTAAGCAAAACCCCACATCATCTTTTTAAAGGGACCACACATCCTTCCCACCTGTCATTTTACAAACATCAATTTCTAACATTCATGCCTTCCAATCCACAAATGCTCTACCCAACTTCGCAACATATTGACCCTTCAACTCAATGGGAACAACTGTTTTCTGTTCATCCTGTGCATGCATTTTTCTCTCTCATAATCTTTTACACATGTATCAGGTCCACTTCCCTGCTCCAAAGAAAACAACCTGAGCTTTTACAGCCTTTCTTCATAGCTGAAATTCTCCATCCCAGGAAACATCCTAGTAAATTGCCTTAGCACTCCCTTCTTTCCATATCGTACTGCATCCAGATCTATCAGCATCACCTCCAGAGCACTGGAGCCAAGATCAAGATGACAGTGAATCTCATACTGAAACTTGTGGGCAGCAGATCCAAAACACCACTTGGTGCTTCACTTACCCTGATCTACCTAACAACAGAGGATTACTGCTCAGGAACCACCACATAAATTTGATGAAAATAAACCTCCAGAACATTATGAGAATTTTTTTTCCATTGCATGTTGAGGCCAACACATAGATCAAGTGATTTCCTATGCTAACCAACACTGATATCCACTAAGCATTAATCCTTTCCGAATAACTCCATTGGCTGACAGCTAATGAAGTATAGAATTGACATAGAACCTCAAAACAAAATACGTGCATTCATCTGAAATTCCACATCCCTTACTAGAAAACACTCCGGTACCCTGCACACTGGCAAACCCTACCTCTTGATGGCACACCTTCTAGTTGACTGCAAACATCATTAACCACAGCCTGGTAATTAATCCAAGTGGTGAAGTACCAGATTTCAACCTTCCACAGAAAATCTGAAAAAACTCAACTATTTGAGGATGGGTCAGGGAAGATATGATCACTTGCTCCATGTGTGGAAAGTGAAAAATAGCTCAAATTGAGACTGCGGATACCCATGCCAGGCCATCGCCGAGGTGTTGATCTCCTATCCTGAGAGATCCATTCACACAGTGCGAGCTGAAGTTATTGAATGGATTGACATCAGACTAAAACAGCTTCACCAATCATACATTTTAAAGAAGTAGGATAATAGAGGTGTCTTTGTTGTCTGGTGGAGTAGTCCTTGCTTTCGCATAGACTGAAGGAGTTGAATGAGCTTTCTGACGAGGCATTGACCTCCAGCCAAGTGGATTTTAGCTGGAATAGATTTTCCCCTGGTTTAATTACATTTGCCAATTCTAAGAGTGTGGGAAGGTCCTCAAGTGATGACGATTACATTCTGTGGAAGCCTGTCGCATGCTTCATCACTGATAGATAAATACTAGCTGAGTGTGTGGTTAAAATGCCATACCATCTTTCTCGAATTTGAGCGTTATCTGTGAGCAGTGTTGACCTATCAGCACCTAGAATGGGTCATGTATCAGAACGGGGCCCGTGGACAGATTTCAAAGCATCTGAAGATCTCTTCTAACCGTTGTTGTCTGTAGATCACTGACATTTTCCTGCATTCTGATTCAGCCGAGTATCTTGCAGCTCTCTAATCTTCAATTAAGCAGTTTTGTAAATGTTTCTTTAGGTATTATGCTTCAATAATGAAGACTTGTTGTTGAGCTAAAACCTGTACATGTGATGTTTCTCTTCCAATAGTTTCTGGACACCATATTATTTTCAATGAACTGTGATGCTTATGAGAGAGAGGACTAATGGCTTTGATAGCAGTGAATTACACTACATGCACCTGAAAGTCACCCAATTGACCTAAATGCAGTGAGTAGCTCTTCTCACTGTATGCAGGACAGTCTCAAGTTTCTCTGAGAGCGATTCCAACATTACTGCCTATTTGAGCTTTGAGATATTGAGATGCTTATAGATCTTCATTTTCAGGCAAAATGAAAGATCTTGATCTTTAGCTTTGAAATGACAAAACAGTGGACAGTGCGGGATTTAAAAATGTCAACTTCCATTTCTCATGCTTTCCAGTTAAAAACCAGCCCAATGGCCTGAGCTGCCTACAGTTCTAAGTGAATCCGTACCTATTGCTATCTGACTCGCCCATTGCCAGTGGACTGGTGGCAGATCGATGATGAAAGACACAAGATATGACTTGCTCATGAGTTGGATTATAGTCAGGGAGGTTTCACATCATAACCACTTCCTCTTATTCTACCCTAAAATAGTCCATCAACAAAATGTTTCTGGATGGCTGGAGACTGATTCAGATATATTATGTGAAGAGGATGTGTTCTGTGTCTTGTCCAGGTCCATGGGTTTCACAATAAGATGCTGACCTGCCTTCAAGTCTTTTGGACCTCAAATTAGTCTCATCTGCCCAGTCCACTGATATCAGTCATCGCATGCCGGTTAGACAAAATCTCAGCATTATGCATTGTCATTACTTGCATTTTTCCCTCATTTTTCTTTTGTATGATTGTACTTGTGCTATTTGCCATTGTCCTGTAAGTGAAGAACATGATTCCAGCTCTAAGGCCTCTGCCAATGTGTCAGCAAGTGTAGGGAGGCATATGACTAAGATAATGCAAATCAGTCCTTAATCAAGTGGCATGGGGTTAAATTTAACTCAGAATGGATGTTGGGCAGATTGATGGGATCTTGTGTGGGAATGTGAAGTGATATGAGTGAATTATACCCAAAAGTAAAAGAATTACAATCTGCATCCATAGATCACTGGGTATGAGAATCTCACAGAGCCCCATAATGAGCAATAACAGCCTTCTAACTGCTTTGCCGAATCAGTTGGAATACTAGGATTAGCAAACCTTCCCTGAAAGTGGAACTATCCACAGATAGTTGAATGAATTCATGAAAATCATTATGTTGGGCATTTGGCACCTTGGGCTGCAGTATCATTCCTCTAGAGCTGAATCTGCATTGTCAGTATGACACTTAAGCAGAATGCTACTTGATTGATGTTGATGTTCAGTTCCACAGCATAGCCTGCATAATGAATGGTAGCCTCCTGATTCACTGCTTCCCAGCCATTTCCAAGAAAGTGGTTCTGAACCCATGAATCACGTGAGCAGCTTTTCATTACCAGTTGTCTTTGAATGGGCTCACCTTCACCTCTGGTTGTAGAGGTGCCTAATGTTCTTTATTCAAATAGTACTCTGCCCAAAGCAAATGGTACCCACAATAATGTAAAACAAAGAACAGCAGGTGCTGGAGACCCACAAAATGTTCTGAGAGTCTTATTCATGTAAGTAATAAAAACAAAACAGAAACAAGCAATATCCAACATCAAAATTCCCTCAAGTTGCACGAAACACAACATCACATGATCTGGATCCTTCCCTTGAGTACTCATTTAAACAAAGCTTCCAGTCGGTTAGTGCACAATGGCCAAACTCCTGTGGCTTTTATCCCAATCACCTGAAATTACATCAGGATAAATCATAGGCCGCCTAAATTGAGTCAAAATTAAAATAATGGCTCATGCAATTATAAGGACTGTGTGGTGAGTTTATGTACCAAATTGAGCAACTGTCTGACCCCGTTGAATTACAACCAATGAGGCTGGCTGCATCAAAACTAACTCCTCAATTTGTGCTTTCTAGAGTGACACATCTAAAATTAGAAGGTCACTATTTAGGAATTGAGAAGCATGTCAGATATTTCTACAACAATAACATTCTGCTACTACCTTTTCAAATCAGTTCACTGTTATTATTATGTCACTAGCCAGTCATTGCATGAGTACAATTGAATTTATTGATATTTTCAAGACAATATTTGCATCTAGAGCACATGCCTGATGAGTTATTTTTTCTCATGTACACTTGTTGGCAAGCCTCATCTCTAATTGGCATGAAGAATCTGATGGTGAACCAGTTTAATTGAACTGCTGTGTATCAGGTGGCACAGGTACAACTGCAGTGCTTTCTATCCTGGACTGGTCTGGACAACACTTGATAGGCACTGTCACAAATACAAAAATCAAAGGGTTAATGGAAACTTACAAAATGGCAATGAAAACTTATCAAAAATCAATTAAAATGTCATCACTGGTGGTGATGATGACACACTAGTGGACTCTACATGCTCCCAGCCCATGGACATCACCTGAGCATCAAAATAATTATGGAAGAAAGACATTCAGTTGAGTGCTACAAACCCCACCATACCTTGCTGACTGGACATGTTGATAGCCATGGTGGCCAGATGCAGGTGGCCCTCCAATCTGCCTCCACACCTCTGCAGGGGTTACCCATCGATCAGGAACATAGGACTGAAGTGCAATTCAAACTTTAAAAGCATCCCCTTTAGAACACTAAGTAGGATCATAAATAAGAACATACGAAATGATTAGAAAGCACAATTTTTTCCAAGCTATAAAAAAAATTACATGTGGTCATGAACCGACTGAACTTAATTAGTCATTTCTTACATGGGGCTGCTACATGCAACACTCTCCATCCTCGATCCTCAGTAGAAAACGACAGGGCTTCCATACTGAGTACCCTCCACCAGGAATCTCTGTGGTCAGACTCTACTTCAAGCCATATCTGGGTACTGGACAAAGGTCAGGAGGTGGAGAGGATGCAACAATGCCCATACAGGAAACTTCTCAGTGCCACTTTTAAACAGCATAAAGGGAATGTCCTCAAGGTGACTCAATATTGTGGGGCACAGGATCCCAAGGGAGAGCTGGTCAGTCTATTTTGGATTTGATTTAACTAGTGGTTCACTAGACAATTTCAAAGGGCATTTAAAAGTCAACCACAATGCTGAGAGCCCAGAGTCCACCTGAGCGGACAAAGACAGCAGATTTCTACCTTAAAGGACATCACGAACTCACAATTCCCAATTGTTTAATGACCATTATTAACATTTTATCCTAGAATTATTAATTCAATTTAAATTCACATGGTTTCTATCATGGGATTTGAATCCATGTTTTCAGAGCATCAGTTCAGCAACATCAAACCCCTGGCATACACTTCCAGAAACATTGTGCTACTCCCCTAGGAAGCTGCATGATTATCCACTGTATACATGGAAGCTGAAGCACTGATAAAGGCTAACAACAAAGATTCATTTTTCAGTAATGTACGAGCCAAGGTCACAGGAATGTAACAGTTGTGAACTGTCTGTAACCCCATAATTTCTGAAGGGGCTTTTGTTACTTTTTCTTTTCCAGCTTATTCAGAACTAGTTATAAGAAATAATTATTTCTTTACTCTCAATGACATTTTATAATCTAGTGTCAATATTGTGAAATTCCGTAACTGTGTCAATACTGCACAATGAAATTAGAGGAATTCCAACATAGTAATTGAGAAAATGAAGGATACATACCAGGTTCCTCTTGGTATAGTGCTTATCTGATAACTAACAAAGTTGCAAGTGAGTTGTGATGTCTCTGGTGTGTTTTTCTGTTTATAAACAGAAAGAAGTGAAAATGAAGGTTTTACAATGTTACGAATACTCAGGATGGAATGAATGTCATACATACTTATTGTGGCTGAACAAGGATTTAAAAATGCCATACTGCATTGGAGAACCTCTTGACAAATAGCTGAGCATGTTCTAAGTAAGTTACAAATGCATATGGAACAGGAAACTGCTAGGCTCAGTCACTTATTTATACTGCTAGGGGAATCATATTTGCCTTCAAGAGTTCTTATTGAGAAAACAATCCCAGGCTCTTTCTAGAGATAACAAAATGTGGAGCTGGAGGAACACACCTGGTCAAGCAGCATCAGAGGAACAGGAAAGGTGATGTTTCAAGTCAGGACCCTTCTAGGCCCTTTCTACCTTGATAACCATTATTGAAAGGGGTTTCTGTGGAAATTGGTTCAAGAACAATTGCTGTGCTGATGAGTCAAGAACCCATCATCATTCACCATTCAGATTTACACGTGTATAATGAATATTTGAAGATGATCAGTCCCTGCAGAAACATTTTGTAGCGAGCAGTCACCGTCTATAAATAAGTTTAGGAAGGAATGAAAATTTAAATGGGGCATACAATTCAAAGACCAGCATCACGGCAGTGCAAAGACAAGGTTAAATATAGTTAACTGGCTTCATAGTCATGCAGTGTTTGATGGATCTGTATGAATTCCTCTATGGCTCACATTGTAGCCATGTCGTGCTAGTAGTCTAGTTTAAGTTCTTTTCAAGTCTTTAGTTGTGATGCTTCTTTTTCAGTCATTCATGGGATGTGGGTGTCACTGAATAGTCTATTGCCCAAATCCTTGAGAAGATGTCGGTGAGCTACCTTCTTGAACTACTGCACTTGGACCATTCCCTTTGCTGTAAGTAGACCCATAATTAGAGAGGGAGTTCCAGGATTTTGATCAAGTGACATTGAAGGAATGATTATAAATTTTGAAGATGGTGTGTTTCTTGGAAGGAAACTTGAAGGTGGTCATGTTCCCTTGTCAAGCTTCTTAAGTGTTGTTGGAGTTGCACCCATCCAGGCAAGGGGTAAGTATTTCATCATACTCCTGACTTGTGCATTGCAGATTGTGGACAGCCTTTGGGGAGCAAGGAGGTGAGTTACTCGCTTTAGGTTTCTTAGCCTCTGACCTGCTTTTATAGCCACAATACTTAATGGCTAGTCCAGTTCAGTTTCTGGTCAATGGTAGTTATAGGATGTTGATAGCAATGATAATGCCATTAAACAGCCAGGGGAGATAGTTAAATTACCTCTTGTTGGAGATGGTCATTGTCTGGCATTTGTGCGGCATAAATGCTACTTGCCACTGGTTAGCCCAAGCCTGAATATTGTATAGTTCTTGCTGCAGTATCTGAGGGGTGATGAATGATGCTGAACATTGTGCAATCATCAGCAAACATCCCCACTTCTGACTTCCCAGAGTATCAAAGAGCAGGCTATTATCAAGCAAGTGCTGCATGATAGCACTGCTACTGATACTTTTCATCACTTCACTGACTGCTTGTTATCTAGATGCCAGTAATCTATGTTGTTCTGTACACTCTAGATGACATTGATGAGCAATTTTGTCATAAGTGGCTTTCAAAGCATTTACTTTATAAAGGGCATGATTTCCCCATTACTGGGATGACAGTCTACTAATATGAGCAGGGTGGAGCAGAATTCTCATCCTTGGATGAACTTGTTTCAATAGTCGGGAGGGACATAGTACCTGCCAGTCATGTGTTGAAGTGATATCTCACCTTGCTGATGGCAGAACAGAGATCAGACAAGGTCTGAAAAGAATTTCCCTCTTCCCATCTTTTGTTCCCAGTGTAGTAAGTAGGCCTCAGGGTTTGATTCTCTGGCAAAGATTTATGTTTTCTAAAGTTATTTCTGCAGAAATTTTGGGGCACTTGAATTATTTTTTTCAAATAATGTCTTAAAATTTTAATCGCAAAGGTACTTGCGGAAAGGATACAGATATTTCTGCTATAACGCGTGTTTCATTAATGCGAATCAGCTGTAACATGACTGACGAATAATGTACACTCTTTGGATAACGTGAACTTTCTACTGTAGAGTATAATGATTTTCTATAATGATTTCTCTATAATGTGATTTTCTACAGCGATTTTCTATAGCGTGATTTTCTATAGCAAGAGGTCACCCAAGAACTAAACTATCATGTTATAGGAGACTACCTGTAACTATTATTTTGCAAGGGGACATAATGCAGAGCAGTGGATCATGTCCCTGCTTTTGAAACAGAGGCTCTGTGTTCTTTTCCCAATCCAGGACTTGATAGCCATGGAAGGTGCAGTCATACTGTGGACAAAAGCAGTGAGCAGCAATCTGCAAAGAAATCCTTCTGTTAAACTGCAATGGCAGGTGGTAAGAATGGGAGAGGTGCTTCATAATCCATGTGATGGGGAAGAAAAAAAGAATTGGACCTTCTACCATCACAAACTATGGTTCAAAAGTACAATATGCAAGTAAAAGCAGATGTTTCCACGACTCTGCCCACCGCCGACCCAACTCCACCCAAGCCTACGCCAACGCAACTCCGCCCACCACCGACGCAATTCCGCCCACAGCCTACGCTGACGCAACTCCGCCCACAGCCGACACCGACGTCGCTCCGCCCACTGCCTCCACAGCCAGCAGCTCCAGAGGGGACAATAGCACCCAGCCCTGCTGAGTCTTCACCATCCCCCCATACCTCCCCCTTACTGAGGACGAGCGGTCAGTCCTCAGTAAAGGGCTCACTTTTGTCCCCCTCCACCCACACATCAACGAATACCACTCACTTTGGACATAGAGCAGTTTTTCTGCCGCCTCCGCCTCCACGCTTACTTCTTTAACCGTGAGCCTAACCCTCCCTCTACTGACCCCTTCTCCCGCCTCCAACACACCCCCTCCTCCTGGACACCACCCCAAGGCCTCCTACCCTCCCTTGACCTCTTCATCTCCAACTGCCATCGAGACATCAATCGCCTCAACCTCTCCACCCCTCTCACCCACTCCAACCTCTCCCCCGCAGAACTTGCAGCCCTCTGCTCCCTCCGCTCCAATCCCAACCACACCATAAAACCCGCGGACAAGGGAGGCACAGTTGTAGTATGGCGCACTGACCTCTACATCGCCGAGGCCAGACGCCAACTCTCCGACACCTCCTCCTACCGCCCCCTTGATCATGACCCCACCCCCGAGCACCAAACCATCATCTCCCAAACCATCCACAACCTCATCACCTCAGGTGACCTCCCACCCATGGCCTCCAACCTCATCGTTCCCCAACCCCGCACTGCCCGCTTCTATCTCCTTCCCAAAATCCACAAACCTGAATGCCCTGGTCGACCCATTGTCTCCGCCTGCTCCTGCCCCACCAAACTTATCTCCAACTATCTGGACTCCATTTTCTCCCCCTTGGTCCAGGAACTCCCTACCTATGTCCATGACACCACCCACGCCCTCCACCTCCTCCAGAACTTCCAATTCCCCGGTCCCCAACACCTCATCTTTACCATGGACGTCCAGTCCCTATACACCTGCATTCCCCATACAGATGGCCTAAAGGCCCTCCGCTTCTTCCTGTCCCGCAGGCCCGACCAGTCCCCCTCCACTGACACCCTCATCCGCTTAGCCGAATTCGTCCTCACCCTCAACAACTTCTCTTTCACTTCCTCCCACTTCCTACAGACAAAGGGGGTGGCCATGGGTACCCGCATGGGCCCAAGCTATGCCTGCCTCTTTGTAGGTTACGTGGAAGAATCCCTCTTCTGTACCTACACTGGCCCTAAACCCCACCTCTTCCTCCATTACATTGATGACTGTATCGGCGCCGCCTCGTGCTCCCACGAGGAGCTCGAACAGTTCATCCACTTCACCAACACCTTCCACCCCAACCTTAAGTTTACCTGGACCATCTCTAATACCTCTCTCTCCTTCCTGGACCTCTCTGTCTCCATCTCGAGCAACCACCTAGAAACCGATGTCCATTTCAAGCCCACTGACTCCCACAGCTACCTAGAATACACCTCCTCCCACCCACCTTCCTGCAAAAATGCCATCCCCTATTCCCAATTCCTTCGCCTCCGCCGCATCTGCTCCCAGGATGAGGCATTCCACTCCCGTACATCTCAGTTGTCCTCGTTTTTCAAGGACCGCAACATCCCCCCCTCAGTGGTCGAAAACGCCCTCAACCGTGTCTCCCACATTTCCCGCAACTCATCCCTCACACCCCGTCCCCGCAATAAGAACCAAAAAAGAATCCCCCTCGTCCTCATGTACCACCCCAGCAACCTCCAGATCCAATGCATTATCCTCCGACACTTCCGCCATCTGCAATCCGACCCCACCACCATCTTTCCATCCCCACCCTTACCTGCTTTCCGGAGGGACCACTCTCTCCGTGACTCCCTTGTCCGCTCCACACTCCCCTCCAGCCCCACCACACCCGGCACTTTTCCCTGCAACCACAGGAAGTGCTACACCTGCCCCCATACCTCCTCCCTCACCCCCATTCCAGGCCCCAAGAAGACTTTCCACATCAAGCAGATGTTCACCTGCACATCTGCCAATGTGGTATACTGCATCCGCTGTACCCGTTGTGGCTTCCTCTACATTGGGGAAACCAAGCGGAGACTCGGGGACCGCTTTGCAGAACACCTACGCTCGGTTTGCAATAAACAACTGCACCTCCCAGTCGCGAACCATTTCAACTCCTCCTCCCATTCCTTAGACGACATGTCCATCCTGGGCCTCCTGCAGTGCCACAACGATGCCACCCGAAGGTTGCAGGAACAGCAACTCATATTCCGCTTGGGAACCCTGCAGCCCAACGGTATCAATGTGGATTTCACAAGTTTCAAAATCTCCCCTCTCCCTACCGCATCCCAAAACCAGTCCAGCTCGTCCCTGCCTCCCTAACCTGTTCTTCCTCCCACCTATCCCCTCCTCCCACCTCAAGCCGTACCCCCCATCTCCTACCTACTAACCTCATCCCGCCCCCTTGACCTGTCCGTCCTCCCTGGACTGACCTATCCCCTCCCTAACTCCCCACCTACACTCACCTTTACTGGCTCCATCCCCGCCTCTTCGACCTGTCTGTTTCCTCTCCACCTATCCTCTCCTCTATCCATCTTCTATCCGCCTCCCCCTCTCTCCCTATTTATTTTGATTAAGGGTCTAGGCCCGAAACGTTAGCCTTTCTGCTCCTATGATGCTGCTTGTCCTGCTGTGTTCATCCAGCTCTGCACCTTGTTGTTTCCACAGCAAATCAGGTTTTCAAATGGGGGATCTAGTTGGCTGGATGGCATGGTTTTAGGACATATTACCATATATTTCTTTTTGATTTGATTTATTATTGTCACATGTACCTAG